GGAGAGCAAAGACAATGTAGTTACTGTCCAAGGTACAAAAACACTGGACCACTATGGATGAGTGACAAAATTGGGGCAACATGTAGAAACAGGGCACAAATCACAAGGGCACCAAGACTGAGGTCAGACTTGGATCTGACTTGGTCTGATCACAAAGGCAGTGATCTTAGTAAGTCTTTCATCAGTGACAGAAGGTACTTTATAAAACTGTCATTAAGTAATGAACCATTACAAAATAACTGATAAGTTTTTCACTATCAGAGCTGCAAGGCCATCAGAGAAATTCTTTCACCTCAATCTCACAGTTTCCCAATAGAACAAATACACACAAACTACTTAACCCATGTCAAAAGAGTGATATTAATCCTGCACATACCATCCTTTTTGCATTGCCACCTATCTAAAGTTAAGCACTGGCAGGAAAGAACAATTGTGCAGGAGAGATTGCAGCAGGAAACAGAAAACAACAGATGGGGATGTCATGCTCTCCCACAGCATTGCAGTTATCCTCAATGCACAGCCTCATGAGAGACAAAACAGAAGAACCTGTCCTGGTCTTCCAGACAACTTTGCAATATACATGCTGACTCAGGACTTAAAACAGCAAGCCACTGGATTAGGGGAATGTAAATTCTCAATTTGTCCTTTATCAACTTTTTATTTTTAAGAAAGACAAAAAATAAAGGGGAAGGCTTATCTATAGAACTGGTATTATATTTAGTTTCAATTTTAAAAACCACACAACTTTCATGGCATAAGGAATATGTTTTGCAGAGGAGGAAAGAGCTGCAGCTTTAAAGTTTTAATCATAATAAGAAGCTGGCAGAACCCCTCTAGTCTAAAAAAAAAAAAAAAATTCTAACTACTATCTTTCAAGGCAGAAAGAGCACTTTAACTACCAGACATACATTTTCACTCAAGATGGTCTATTGCAGGATTTGGCTCTCACCTGCTTTTGCTACAGCCCCCTCTTCACAAGCGTGAACAAGTCACTCTCTGATTTTGTTCCCCTGCCTATAGTTTATTATTCTGCCTTGCCACTTATGGTTAGGTAAAGATGTAGGTAGAAAGGCTGTAAGGCATTTAGGCTTCAAATCTATATACTACACCTAAGCAGATCCCTAAGCCAACCACAGAAAGTATACAAGGGCATACATTAAAATAGCACATTAAAAACACAGGGACCAAAAAAATATCACCTCTATCCTGCAAAGTTAAAATCACAATTAGAAGAAACATATGCTGCTACTTAGAGAACTGGAAAAACCTGCAGCTACAAAGTTGCTGTAGGTTAAAGCTTTTGAAACAACAAAGAACATGTGAGTTGGCAAACTAAGCATTTCTTGTTTTGCTCACTTTAGCGCTGGCAAGCAAAAGGGATCCTTGCTGCCATAAAAATAATTTCTGTGCGTAAACTTCAATTTTTATTTTGAAATACAAAGAGTTCAAGACAAGACCAGCTACCATATATAACAGCTTCTTTATCTATTCCATGCTGTATTGGACATCTGTAATTCAAGTGGCCACTGAAAAGAACAAAGATGTATATCACATTACCTACCTTTATCATCTGCTACAGTCCTCTCTGTAATCTATGGTATGGAACTACTGCCTTCCAACTAAGCCTGTATATGTCTTTTTTTACCTTTTTTTTTTCAAGAGCATAGTATTTTACACTACCTTTACTCACTCACACTGTTTCAGCTTCAGCCCACTCGTTTTAACTTCTGTATGCTGCACTACATTTAAGATTGGTCATCCCTGTCAGTTCTGCATTATTGCAAAACTCACAGCTGAACATGACAAACACATCATCCACCACCAGCCCAGGAGCAGGAACATCAACAAAGGCCTTGCATTTCCTCTCATTCAACATTCCTCTGTTGTCGAAGGATCTTAACAGTGAGTCTTCTGTCTCCTTTTTTTACTTGCTGTTTTACTTGCTCCTGGAATAATGTTTCCCAGCGTTTTTCTAGCTGAGCTCTGCTGCTGTACCCTTCCCTTTCATTTCTTTACCTTCCCATGCCTATCCTCTCTCTCTTTTTTCCCCTCCTCTTGCACTCCTGCCTCTTCTTCCATAACAGCACGAGTTCTGCATGGCCACCTTGTAACTTGGTGGTGCAAAGAGATATAAGGCTATAAGATTAGACAGATCTCTCACTCCAGTCTCCAGAAGCACTCCCAAGCAGCCCCCAGGCTGGGGGCACAGCCAGGAGCAGGCAACAGGAGTTAACATGCCAGCACTCTGAGCCAGCCCCTAGCTGCACCTTGCCTCTAACACCTTGCACCTCACTAGCAGGGAACTGCTGCCACATGGGGAGGTCTTTGGCACCCACACCCTACAGACAAGCTGGCTCATGTTTTTGGACTCCCTCTCAAAAGGACAATGTGTGAAGTGTTACTGGCAGACTTGCTGCACTGCAGTTCCAGGCAAGGGCTATCTTCTTTCCTTATTGCCTGTACAACCCAGGAAACACACAGCTTCAATTAGGAAAGCTTTAACTTCTCATTTTCTTGAACAAAACCCAAAGCTTCAGATCAGTTACATGCACAGGTTAAATATGATATTCCAGGTATAATCGGTCACATTTAGTTTGCTTCAACCAGCTAAGCACAGGACAGGGGAAATAAAAACTGACAAGAAGCTATTCTGTCGTGTCATATTTTGCATTATCTGCTGTCTTCTGTCAGGAAGGCAGAAGAACTATATTCCCAAATACCGCCCTAAGAAAAAGGTCATGTCTACACTGCAGAGCAAAGCATAAGCTCAGCCAACTAACATCTGCAGAGAGTGGCTGAGCTACAGCCAGTCCATTTTCAGACTGACACCACTGTGGGTGCCCATCTAGTCTCCTCTACAGAAGAGATGCCCTTTGCACAGTAAAACCAGCTCCCTGAGCAAGTCTCTCTGAAATAATGCAACACACAAGTTTAAACTGCATGGACTATGCAACACTGCTAGCTCCTGTTCTGCTAGAGGTGCACAAGAATCCACCCATTGAGAAAAGTAAATTCATTTTAGGTAAGAAAAAGAGTCTCACCAAAGCTGAGCTACTGCTGCCCAGGATACACACATACTGATGAAAATTGTCAGCTGTTCCCCTTTGCTGATGCAAAGGAAAACTGCCCACAAAAAACACATAACTACTTCGGCACAGCAAACCTTCATCGGCTGAGGAATTAAGCATTCATCTTCTTGCACCCTGCTCCCATTATTTGGATTAAATTATATTTGTGTACTTTTGTCCACAACCAAACAAGCAATTCCACACTGAAATAGACACCCTTGTCTGTAACTACATCACTTCAAATTAAAATTAAAAGGAAGCAGAAACATACATGAGAATACCCAATAGATGTTACTGCTAAAGGTCCTAGATGTCACAACAAGTATTTTGGGTTTTAGGCAGACCTGATATTTGTCCTTTCATAAACCTATAAACACACAAGAGTTTCTGGGCCACACCTTCTAAATCTCAATGAACATTCAGTCTTACATTCAACTTACTACCAGCAGCAGGTCCCTCTGGTGTGACAAACACTATTGCATCAGTGAGGCAGCACCAAGAGCTACGCTGACAGTCATAGACTTTGAAGGAGTGGATCTTTATTGCACATGGGGCTGCATTTTTAAAAGACGTAAGAATGGCGTGGCTCCCCTTATGATGACACTTACCACTGAAATGCCTGTAATACTACACTTAAGACTTATTTGTTGCTTTCATTAAGCAAAGGAAAACATGGTCCTCACTAATGCCTTGCTATGTACACCACAAGACACCCAACGCAGTCACTCACTATAAGTCACCGGTCCCTCCCCGCTCTGTGATTCCACCGTATCAGAACAACCATCCAAATTTGAGCTCCTTTCCTACAGATCTGACATTCCACATACACCTTTGCTGTGCCAGGAGTCTGGCATACTGTCACTCTCTCTCATGCTGAAAAACACAGTTTATCTTTTCTGAAACGAGATCAAGGAAAGAGATCTGAACGACCTTTGCTGTCCATCTCACATCCCTCAATAATACACACCAAGTGGAGAGCCCATCAGGCAACAGACTGCTGCCTCCTCCTTCTCAAGGCCTGTTTTCTTGATTGTTTTCTTGAAGACTATTTCCTAATGAGCCATTGTGAACTCTTGCTTCTTCTTAAAAATTTACCTTACAGAACTACTCCAGTAACACTGAGAAGCTGCCGTTCTAAACCAGTCCGGATCACTTGCTACTTGCCACATAAAACTCGCCATCCATTTCAACTAAACCCACCACAGCACAGAGCCATGATTTCCCACGGATTATTCCCGACGCCGATGGTGCCAGATCCTGCCACACGCCCGGTGACCAGGGCCACCTCGGAAGCGACAGGGTCAGCTCCGCTCGCTGTCCAGCTGTTCGCTGGCGGGCGCGTCCCATCGCTGCAACGCATCAGCAAATTACAGGACCACTGCAATCCACTGACAGGTCACAGGACCACGACGAAATCGCTGGAGGCTCCGACTTTAAATGTCCTGCCGAGGGGACTCGACGCTGCTCCGAAAGGCCGCGGAGCAGACCTAAACCACGTATTTAGCACGCAATCATTTAACGTGTTCAGCTTCCCAGTATTTAAAGCCCAGCGCTGGAAGGCGGCGAGGTGAGAGCGGGAGCCCTCCTCCCGTTTCCGGACCGATGCCCACAGGTCCTGGGGACGCCGCTGCGGGACACGACCCGCCGCCCGGCCCGGCCCGGGGCCCCGCCGAGGGATGTGGAGCCCCGCGCCGCCCTCGGGCGGCCGCGCCACCGCCGGGCTCCCGCACCGCCGAGGGGCCGCGCGGGCCGGGGACGGCGGGGACAGCGGCGGGGCCGGGGGGCTGGCGGAGCGGCGCAGGCGGCGGCGGGATGGCATCCACCGGCGGCCCGCTCCCGGTTCCAGCTCTCTGCTCCCAGTTCCCGCTCCGCCAGCGTACACACCTGCCCGCCCCCCAGCACCCCCCGCCCCGCGCTGTCAGTCGCACCCACCTACCCCAGTGGCCGCCGCCGCCGCCGCGGGTCCGGCGCGCCCCGCCGCCCCCGCGCCGGCAGCGGCGCGGCACGGCACGGCACGGCACGGCACCGCACCCCCCCTTCCGCCGCCCGCCCGCCCCTAGCGCGGAGGTGGAGCGGCCGCCGGGAGGAACCAGGAAGTGAACGGCGGCGGCGGGAGCAGCGCGTCCCCGGCCCTGCCCCTCCCCGCCCCGCCGAGCGCGCCCCGGCCAGGACGGGCAGCGGCGGCTGCGGACCCTGTGCCGGCTGCGCGTTATCGGCCCAGGCGGGCGGGTGCCGGGGGGAAATGCGGGCTTTGTGAGGAAAACACCACACTTTTTTGTTTTGGGTTCTGCCTCAGCGGGCACCTCTGAGCCCCAGGCGGGTTCAGGGTAGTTTTGGTTTGCAGGTATCCAAAATCTGTTAGCACTCGAGAAGTGCAGAGCAGTGAGGACGTTTGGGGAACTGCAGTATCATTCTTAGGAGGAAAGGCTGAGGGAGTTGGGCCTGTTCAGTCTCGAGATGAGACTACTGAGAGGGGACATCATTATTGTGTATAAATGTCTAAAAGGAGGGGCGTGTGGGTGTGCCAAAGAGATGGAGCTGGGCTCCTCTCAGCAGTGCCAAGCAGTAGGATGCGGGGCAGTGGGCAGAAACTGATGCACAGGAAGTTCCACCTTCACAGGAGGAAGAACTTCTTTGCTGTGTGAGTGACCACATGCTTGAAGAAGTTGTCCAGAGAGGTTGTAGAGAATGCCTCACTGGAGATACTCAAGAACTGTCGGGACACAATCCTGTGCCATGTGCACTAGGACAGCCCTGCTTGAGCAGGGAGGTTGGACTCGATGACCCACCATGGTCCATTCCAACCGTACCTGTTCTGTGACCATGATTCTGTGACACAGCGCTCCACTGCAGCTGTCATGTTCAGAGCCAGGGCAAGGGCTGAGTTTGCTTGACACTCTCCACGTCAAGCCACCGCTTCCAGCCTTTGTGGCCTTGCCCAGGTATTAATCATGCAGTGCAAATCTTCACAATTCAGGGTTGCCTCAGGCTGGCTGTGTTGATTTGGCATAGCCTGTTTTTTTGGTAGTGGGAGACAGCCAGAAGTGGCTTCTATGAGAAGCTGCTTGAAGCTTCCACCACATCTGACAAAGCCAATCTCTCTGGTGGCTCTGAAGATGAACATGCTGCAGGCCCAATTAGACAGGTTGGTAATACCTCTATTTAAGAAGAAAATCAAAACAGCACACAGGCAGCTTTTTCCAGGGGTGGCAAGGTGCTGCCATTGGGGCCATCCCAGCACAGTGCCATTGCCATCTGGGCACTGCGGCCATCGCCATCTGGGTGCAGCCTGCAGCAAGCCTTGTCTGCTTGGCCACCCCAAGCCAACTGTGCTGCAAGCAGAAGGGCAGTGAGGGCAGCTTCTCGTTCCTGGTGCCCCGCATGAGGAGAGGCACTCAATAGCACCAGTGCTGCGGCAGCCACCACTGCCCATCGGTGGCTATGGGGCCACCTGGCCGGTGGTGAAAACACGGCAAGCAACTCCCCAGTGCAGAACCTAGACAAGATCAACCACTGAGCGCTGTAGGGTCCTGCAAGGATTTTTGAATTGGTGGAGCTTATTTGCAATGGTACCTACAAGCAGCAGTTTTTCTCCTGGTCAGAGAAGAGGAGGAAGTGAGGACATGTGAGCATCCCGGTCAGTGGAAAAAGAAGGGGAGGAGGTGCTCCAAGAGCCAGAGCTGAGATTCCTCTGCAGGCCATGGTGAGGCCTATGGTAAAGTAGGCTGTCTGTCCCTCTGCAGCCATTGAGGTCCATGGGGGATGCGGAGATCTACTCACAGACCATGAGAGAAGTACACTGGAGCGGGGGGATACTGGGGAAAACTCTGATCCAGTGGGAGACCCAAATGGAGAGAGAGGGCCCCTGCTTCCAAACTATAGCAGCCTATCCTCAGAGGACTGCACCCTGTGGACGAGTGACTCACACCACAGCAGTTTCAAAAAGACTGTTTGCCCATGGGAGGGACCCCAGGGCATAGCAGAGGAAAGACTCCTTTCCCTGAAAAAACAGAAAAAAAATCTCAAGTGACAATCTGACCAAAACCCCCACACCCTGTCTCTCTGCATTGTTGGTGGGAAAGAGGGAGGGGCTGGAGAGAAAAAATGTTGGTTTAAAGGCCTATTTTACTTCTCATTATCCTCCTCTACTCTGTTAATAATAAATTTGCTTTATACCTTTAAATTTTAACCTGTTTGCTCTTAGTCCTCATCTCAACTCTTGAGCCCTTCATTAATTTTTTTTTTCCTCTCCTCTGCCCAGTTGAGAGCAAGAGAAGATCAGCAAAAGGCTTTTGTGGGTGCCTGGTGTTTGGCCAGTGTCAAACCATGACATGGGCCAACACACATCATTCATTTACAATGAAATTAAAGATACTGCTTTGCCTTAAAAAAAAATCCCAACATACAAACCCCAACAAACCTAAGAAACAAGTGGCATCCTTTTTTGTATGATAAGCTTCATTACTGCCTCGTGCTGGAATTTTAATGTCCTCAGAAGTGCTCTTTAGGACAAAAGGTTGCCTTCTGCCCTCCTTGAGGAAAAACGAGCCAAATCTGTGCTCCTTCCACCTTCAAAAAACTGCTTTTTGCATGTGAACAAAATTTGTTAGCTGAGCCTCTGGACTATCCAAGAATTTGACTAACATTACGTAGACTACAAGCTGGGGTGGCAGAAGTGGGAAAAAAATTAACACATCACTCCTGCCTGGCAACTCTAACTGTTAGCTGCTGTGGGCTAAGCCATGAGAGTCAGGAACTAAGATAAGAGCCAGAATGTCATCTCCCTGTGGTCTCTCAGTGGAAATCACAGACTGCATCTGCATTAACACTATTTCAGATCAATAATTCACTCACATTTTCAGGGAATTTTTGATTTATTCCTACTTCTTGTTTGGTTCAGACTGCAATGTGAGGACACAGGTATCATACTACAAGTCAAACGAAGGGTCAGTCTGTGCTGGACAGCAGCACTGGTAGATGCTATTTTAGAGAGAACATACAAACCAGGGCCCTTTCATGTATGGCACTCCCGTGGGCCAGCAAGGAGACCTGACCCTGCTCACCTCCCCAGGGTGAGTAGAGAAGACAAGCTACCCAAGCTCCCAGCTCTGCCAGGCTCCACTGCTGGCTCTCCCCACCAAAAACAATAAACAATCCCCATACAACCCTAGGTAAAACTTCCAAAAGCATCCATCCCTCCTGAAGTTTGCTCCCACTGCATCATGCCACCTGCTCCAGTAGGTACAGCCAGGAATGCTTTGCACATTTGATTTAACAAGGAGTTGTGGAAAGCTGGATAAACTCTGGCAGTGTGCTGAGTAATCCTTGGGAGCCATGGATCATTTTTAGCCAAGCAAGCATCAGCGTGAAGTCAAGATAGCATATTTTAAAATACTCTGAAAATTTTTACACAGGAGCTAGGCAAAAAGGCATGCAAACTTACACTAATGATTGTTATGAAACTTTCAATTAAAGCTGTCAAAAAAACCCAACCCTTAATTATTGTTTTAATATATAGCGCGAGTTTTTAATCACATTTCCCACTTTCCCAGTGATATCTGGCACAGGACCAACAGAATCTCCTAAGCATTTGGTTTCTTCCCTGCTCCCGCACCAGCCTTCCCCGCGCACCGCACTTCGCTTGGACCTTTCTGAAGTTAAAAACTCCGCAAGGAAAAGGAGGAAACGCAGAAGACTGTGACTACGCGATCCATTTCTGCGCACCAGGGTATTTCCACAGCCTCCTGGAGGAGCTTTTGGCAGAAAGCGGGAGCTGTGGCTTTACCGCCAGGGCCAGCTTCTCGGAGAGGACGTTTCCCGGGATGCCCGGGGGGTACCGCGCTCAGAGCGCTGCACCAACTCCGCGCGAAAGCCTTCTGTGGCTTCCCGGCTGCACCCCCGCTTTGCCAGCAGGCAAGGGGAGCCGCCGCTGTGAGTGCCGGTGCCGGCTGGGCGGGCGGGACAGCCGCCCTGGCTAGCCGGCAGACGGACGGACGGACGGACGGACGGACGGACGGAAGGCGGGCGGGAGGCGGGGAGGAAGCGCGGCAGTGCGCAGGTGCGGCGGAGGCGGCGGGCATGGCGTCCGTGGTGCTGAGCGAGGCGGAGAAGCTGTACATCGTGCACGGCGTGCAGGTACCGCGGGCGGGAGGCAGGGGAGGAGGGAGGGAGGGAAGGAGCCCTCCACCGCTCTGTCTGGTGGCGAGCCTCTGGAGCAGTACTCAGCACACCGAGCATCAGAACGGGAAGCAGGCTGAGAGCGGGACGTGGATTTGTTTTCACAGAATCACACAATATGCTGGCTCGGAAGGAACCCACGAGGATCACCCACTTCTGGCCCTGCACAGAGCACCCAAAGAGTCACACCGTGTGCTTGAGGGCATTGTCAAAAGGCTTCTTGAGCTCTGTCAAGCTTGGTGTTGTGACCACTTCCCATGGGAGCCTTTTCCAGTGTCCAGCCACCATCTGGTTCAAAAACCTTTTCCCGATGTCCAACCTAAGTCTCCCCTGACACAACTTCAGGCCATTCCCTCAGGTCCTGTCACTGGTCACCACCGAGAAGAGATCAGTGCCTGCCCCTCCTCTCCTGAGGAAGTTGTAGAGTGCAGTGAGGTCTCCCCTCAGTCTCTTCCAGGCTGAACAGCCCAAGTGACCGCGGCATCCCTTCAAACGACTTCCCTGCAGGGCCCTTCACCATCTTCATTGCCCTCCTTTGGATGCTTTCTAAGAGCTTAATATCCTTCTGCCCGCATCTGCTGCTCTTTCCTTGGTCTTTCCTGGCTCTTCCTCAAGTTACTGCCATTGGATAGAGTTTTAGCCTGTAACTTGGCGAAGGAACACGAGTGGACAATGGAGGAAGAGTGAAGGGTGTTTAAGGAGAAGCCCCAAAGATAAAAGAACTGTATTCTTACTGAAATTTACTGAAAACCTGTTTTTATGGGAATGAGCTGTAGAGTATCAGA